CAAGGTCACTCACAGGAGAGAGCTTTCAACTGGAGTAGGTGAGTGGGCAAAGGCCTTGAGTCCCAGGTAAGAGTATTAAACTCCTTGGCAATAGGACTTTGGAGATTTGTTTTGCTGAGCTTTAGGGTCCTTTCCTCTCACAGGCAGCAGTCCATAAAACTGCCTGGGGCTGTGCTTCGCACCATGGAGGCATTTGAGGAAAGATAAGCTACAACTGAGTGAAACAAATGCAGAGCATAGCACAAATGTTATTTACCATTTTGCACGCTCCTAGCAAATACGCAGTAATGCCGTGTCGCTAAGCAGCTGGCAGAGAACTGGGCATGAGCGCTGGTCGTGTAGAGCTGGAGAGCACCTAGCAGCCTTGAAACACGGCTGGGTTTTGCTGCAATGATGCACATTAACCTAAGCCTGACCCCCTTCTGAGAACGGCTCTAGTAGGTTTTAGTTATAACATGAACAGACCCTATACTTCCAGATTTTCCTAACTGCTGCCCCTTCAATTTAAGAAAAAGGAAAAAAAAAAAAAACCTCAAAGACACACCTTTCTCAAACAGTAAACGGTTTTAGCTATAGATCAGTTCTCATGTCAGTCCAGGCAACGGAAATCTGTCACTTTGTACACTGGAAAGCATAATTTCTTTTCTTAGTTTGAGAAAGAACCTAGGAGGTTATCTGAGCCACAACACAGGCTTGATTACCATCAAAAATTAATGTTGTTTAAACTATTCTGCTTTTAAAATACATGCCATGTGGTTTTATTTTGCAGTCCTTTTAGAAAAAAGAACTGTTTTATTTTATCAGCGTTACTTACTAGCAGCAGAGCGGCTTTCAGATTTCTCAAATTAATTCCCCTTGGAAATCACACTTCTCTCTAGCCGCACAGAGAAACAAACAGACACTCACGAGCCCTCGGAGACCAACAGAGCCTCGGACGCTTTTATCTTCCCGCTTTTCACAGGCGGCGGCTGCTGAGTATCTATTACAGCACCGCAGAGATGTAGCTGGCTCCTTGTAGCGGTATTAGAGCAAGTGAGAGGGAATGATGACAGTAATGTCATCTTTCATAAACTTTAATAGCTCAACATCCTCTGCCGGGGAAGGACTGACTCCACTTGAAGCGCGAGCGGGCTCTGCACAGCCTCCTTTCGCGGCGTACGCACGCGGTGCTGTGAACTCTCCTCGAGGAGGAAAGCTCAGCGATAACTGGGACTTGTCTTCAAAGGCAGCTTTTCTCCACTGAGAAAGCTTAGCTCATCACAGCCACCATCCCCGGCAGGTTGCCTGCCACGCTGGCAGCTGGTGAGCTGCAGGGAACAACTTCACTTTGCAGTGAACGCAGAAAGGAATGGAAGAGAAAATTGAAATAAAACCTGCCATTTATAATAAGAAAGTGGAATATGAATTACAGAAAGAGACAAGCAGTAGGGACTTAAAAAGTTGTATAGTAAACCTCTTTGCTGTGAGCAGAGGTGAGTCAATCAACACAGATGGATACCCAGAGTAATGCTTGTCTCACCCAGTCATTATTATAGCTCGACAGTCAGCGGCAATTCTGTTGTCATCTAGCACAACCAGTCCCAGGATTTGCCTGTGCTCATAGCAAACAGAGGCGTTTTGGCACTCTCCCGCCAGGCAGGAGGTGTGCAAATAGCTCCCCATGCTCAGGAGATGCCCTTGCTCCCAGCTCCAAGGCAAGAGATCCCGCTGCAAGGGGCCCCCACATGCACCACCACCTTTTTTTTTTTTTTTTTCTGTTTCCGTGTACTGGAGGAATGTGAATCTTTAAATTCTCACAAGGTGCAAGCATTACAGTGCTCAGTGCTGCAGTGCCCAGCAGTTACACCTTCACTTCCCACCACAGGTTTCATCCCTAAACACTGATGCATAAGAGCTGGGCACATCTGCCTGCTGTATCAGCTAGCAGGGTAAGCATGCAGACACCTAGACCGTGCAACAGGAACCATCAAAGACTGCGCCACCTCTAACATCAAAGACTGCGCCACCTCTTTGCACAATTCTTGTTCAGCTTGCAGTCCTAGGCCAGGTGCTTCTCTGAAACAGAGGTTCATGACTTCCCAGAGCAGGGTTTTTATTGCTATGCTGCTGGCTCGTCCCTCACAAGGCTTCATGCCTAGCTGCTTAATGGTCTCTTTTGCAAAAGCAGTGTTGCCCCTTCTGCCACTTATTTGCTAGCTGAGGTAGTGGCTGGATACCTTGGATGGTGGTTTCTCTGTTGAGATTTTTCTGTAGAGCAGACAGCATTAGTGTTTGAAAGATCATGCAGCAACAAGGTTTGATAGATCGCGAGGGGCATAAGGGACCAGGAAAATGCTTTAAGTCCACAGTTCTGGAAGTTATTAAACAGTAGCAGGTATACCAGAGAATATAAGTGGTAAGGCTTGTAAGGGAAGATAGTATTTTTTTATTAATCAAACCAATACAGCTGGGGGAAAAGGACATATTCAGGCACAGAAACCCTTCTGTTTAAATGCATTGGCTCTGCCATTCGGAAATGTTATAAGTTGAGCATGAGCCAGCAATGTACCCTTGAGGCAAAGGTCAATGGCATTCTGGGCTGCACTGAGAAGAGCATTGCCAGCAGGTCGAGGGCGGTGATCCTGCCCCTCTCCTCAGCCCTGGGGAGGCCTCACCTGGAGTACTGTGTCCAATTCCGGGCTCCCCAGTACAAGAGAGATTTGGCGCTACTGGATTGGTCCTGCAAAGGGCTACTAAGATGATGAAGGGGCTGGAGCATCTCTCCTATGAGGAAAGGCTGAGAGAGCTGGGACTGTTCAGCCTGGAGAAGACTT